TGTGCGTTTTTTTTTTTTTTTTTTTTTTTTTTTTTTCACACCACTCCAGCAGTGCGGTGGAGATACACATTTGCCTCTTCTGGCACTCCCATGCGTGCAAGCCACAGAGATTCCTGCGCGGCGGCCTCTTCGCCTTCATTCCGTGCAGTGCGGTCTGGTCTCTGCATCTGCGCAAGTGAGTGCAGCACCCGAGCGGCCGCAACGGAATCCATCACACCAGCATACGGCACACATCCCTTACCCGCTGCCCCAACACGAACGGACCCGTTTGTTTCCTCTTCAACCGATTCCCATTCATCCGGCATTCGCGCCACCTCCACAGTGCCATCGCCGCCCACCACCGTAATGAGACGCGAGGCGGTATGCATAGAGACAGATCGAATAGGACCACCACACTGCACATGATAACATCCCAATAGACCAACAGGCCGTAATGTCAACACATACAAGAGACCACCATTATCACACGTCGCCGCTGCCATGTCTCTATTCGCCATGTACATTCCTGTTACGGTATGCTGTGCGGTGAAGATGCGATCACATTGGGATTCAGAGAGAGTCACCGCAAATACATCACGACCACGGGCGACGAGTGCCATTTCATTATTAGCTGCCAGTGCGGTGGTGCGTGTAAAGCAGGAACCTGGCAATAATACACGTGGTTCCACATCTTCAAAGGTCACACTGCTGCGTACACGGAGTTCATGTTCTAATCCTGGTGTGGTGTGGACCACTAATGATTCCCGTGCATTTCCCATACCACTTAACATCCAATCTCGACTACAGGGTTGTACCACATACCACATAATAGTACGGGAGAAGAATGCACTCTTATCAAACATTTGTGGTTTTAAGTAGAGATCTTGTCGTTTCCATACATATACCACACCATCTGAACCACAAGTAACAAATCCCATATTAGCTGTAACATCTTCAAATCGACGTTTCTCTAATTGTTTATTTTTATTATCCAACATTTCATCTCTATTATTAATATTTATATTATTATAATCATCACTATGATTATCTGTTCCACTGCAAATAGCACTCACTGCGACCACAGGTGAGTCATGAGCGACAAATCCAAACACGTAACTGTGTTCAGAGAAAACATCCACGCGACCGTCAGTTGAACCCACGACCCCGCGAAGATAAACGGGATCATTAGACGACTGAGCGAATCTCGTTGTCATCAATACGGCGGTGGTGGCATCACCCATTGCTTTAGAAGCGGCGGAGGGAATCGACACCGCAGGGGCTCTGCACATATAACAAATATCTAATGGAATTAAAGAGGCACAGGTGGCCTTGGAGTATTGACATCCTCGTAAATTTTTCATCGCATTTAATCGACGAACTTCTCTTGGTCCCATAACTTCACTCTTTAAATCAAAAAAAACCACCTGACGGTTTTCCAAAACACAAACAACAGCATCCGCACGTTCTCCACAGAGAGCGAAGAGAGGCGATCGGGTAGCATCAGAATCATCAACGCGAAGGGGTGAATCTTCCTTTTCTTTTGGAGAAAATTGAGTGATATTCACTCCAGGTCCTTCCCGTTGTGATGATGGTTGATATTGTTGTTGTTCTTGTTGTTCCTCTTGCGATGGTGATAACTGAAGGGGTGAAAAGAGTGTGGTGAAGGATGCAAACATCACCTCATCTTCGATAGGAAGAAAAAGTGAGCTCCATGTGGTTGTAGAATTATTTCCTTCAGCGAATGAGCCCATCTTTGTTCAATGTACGTTAAAATTGAATTCCTTTCTTGTTTCTTGTTTCTTCTTTTTTTCTTTTTCTTGTTTTTTCTTCTCTTTTCTTTTTACGTTTGGTTAATTCACCAGTATCACCTTTTTTCTATTTATTTATTTATCTATTTATTTCTCTTGTAATCAAACAGGAAGATTAGACACCCACAACTTAACTCAGTTGTAATATGTTTTTCTCTTAATTGTCTGTAACCCTTACCCGCACTCCAAACGACGAAAAAGATTAAAAAAAAAAAAAAAAAAAAAAAAAAAAA